AACTCACCGAAGACAGTGGTGGATGTGTCGCTCGATTTCGTGGATCGGTTAAAGTTAGACATTAACACCGTTAGATGCCGGCCACCTCAGTGGTCTATAGGTGTAGCGCTCGCGCGCGAGACTGATATGTCCTGGGTTCGAATCTCGTGAGGCAGGATCGTGGATGCGCACTACAGAGGAGTCCCACAATTGGACTAAACGACCATTCAGTGCTTCGAGGTCTTTCATAGTGATCTAGCTTCAATGGATTCATGATCTCAACTATTAAAATCACTAGAATATCCACAAAACCCCTTCTGATATTTTCCATTTGTTTATGTGATAAGTATGAAATTTAGTTGTACCTGTAGTGAACAAAATCTCAGATACAGTAAATCAATTTATTGTTTTATGCAAAATTGAACTATATGAGAATTTTACATTAAATGCATCATTTGCATATCTTTCTTCAATTATACTTTACATACTTCAGCATTTTACTGATCGTGTTCTCTGTTTTTTTCTCTCTCTTCTCCTTCTTTTACTTTTCTATTGATAAGCATTCTACTTTCAATTCCTGTTAATGTACAACCAAAACTGAACATAATGAATGTTAGGAATATACAGTAACTAAGCGTATACAATTCACATGTTACTACCATTTTAATCGATAAATGTTCACAAGTTTGTTAACTGGTTTATCTCATCTCCAGACTGTATCAGAGGAATCTCCACATGGATCTTACTGTCATTATACATAAGTGGGCAGTTCTTTAAGTAAATAAACATATATACCTCTTAAACTCAATAAATTCACTATGTAATAACTGAACTAAACATCGAAGCAGATCATTTGTTGGCGATCATCTCATGATATATATATTACCACCACTAAATTAACTATGAATTCGGTGTTCATCTTGTTGTGCTAACGAGGCATCGCAACTTAAACCGATGCATATATATGCCTGATCCTACGTTGTAGCTAACTGACTGACTGATCTAAAATCAGACTAATGTCTATCAGATTTTTGCTAGGATCAGAAAACCATTCATACATATAATGGATCAGTAAGTGAATATCATATTAGACGATCAATCCTAATAAGTATTATCTTAAACAAATTGGATAGAAATTATAGCCTCCATGTCATATACTATTAAGAATCCTCGTAATGAGAGAAATCAATTATTATTTACCACGATTTAAATTTCGAACGAGGTAAAAGTGCACCGACATATAATCCATTAGATTACTACTCAGAGGACTAAAGGTAAAGTATTTCATGTAAGACCTAAGGATCTTGGTTTCGAACCCCAGTGGGGTCGTGGATGTCTACCTTTAAATAGTCCCATAGTAGGACAAAACAACTACTCAGCACTTTCTGGTTTTTAATGGTTCTTCAACTCAAATTAATCCATGATGTAAACTGTGATATAAAAATAATATAGATTGATTTTCTTTTAAAATAAAACTAATGTCTATCCAGATTCGACCCTGAAATATTGATTGGTTATGACATTGAACGTTTTTCATGGGGTTATCTTGTTGAACGTGCCAATCATCTTGAACGGCGTACCTTTACTCGAGAATTGTCACGCTTAGCATCAGGTTAGTGTAAATAAGTAAGAATATAATTACTTTATTATGATTCTATACTGGTGGTTGCTTTTCAGTGTTCTCAAGGGCTTTTGTTATTGGAGCATTGTAAGGCATATTGCCATTGCTAACATTAATGAGTTTGACTGTCGTGTAGGTGGCATGGGTCAACTTTGGTCTGTTCATGCTGTGTATAATTGATTTACGCGATCACCGATCGGAATATTTATACACGGGATGTGAATGTGCATATGAACGGTGTGAATGCTCCACCAGAGTGCTTGGTACCTGGGTGATTGTGCCACATGATTGGGATGTACTGTTCGGATTGTAGCGTTGAAGCTTATACAGTGTCTGGTTCTCCTATAGGGTGGTATTGATCTGTACTGCTTGGGTTAAGCCTGGACAGTGTCTGGCTCTACTGTTTAACGGGATTGAGCTGTACTGTTTGGGTTGCGAGTGAAAGTCCGTATGGTGTCTGGTTCTTTTGAAAACCAGTGCAAGATTACCCTTGCCCATAAGGGTATATTATATGACTGTTAACAAACTGGTTGATCCTATTAGTAGTCATATGCTTGCTTGATGATTCTATATGGTTTCTTATATGGTTATTTAGAACATACAATAATAGCGTTATTTGGAAATACTCCTTATTATCACCATCTGATTATTACGTTTCCTTTTTAAGTCAATTCAGTAATCTTAAGCTAATTGTATTGTTTGTTCAAAATAATTAAAACCTACTGACAAGACGGTAGTAATTTGATTTAACTTTACTGGAAGTACCACTTGATCTCGGTGAATGAAAGATTTTGTCTCTTCCTCATATTCAGAATGTTGCTTCAGGACTGACTGGTCTATGTCGACGCCTAATGTAATCGTAAGGAGTAAAATAATCGAGCTCGTTAATCACTTCATTAGCCCTAACGGATTGATAGCTGTCTAAATCTCATCATAGATCCTCAAAGGTCTCTTGGTTTGTACAAATTACATCACCTATAAAATAGGCGGAATATCCATCTGCTTATTAGGGAGTGAGTGTAGTGTTTGCACAACAGACCTCTCTGTGAAGACTGTAAAACCTAATCTTTAAAAGTACTGAATATTTGTAGTACTACCAGTACTTCAAACAGAAATCTTTAGTCATTGATCGTGCATTATAAGACGACAGAGTAACCGTGCTGAGGTTAGTCTTAGAACCCAATGTAAAAGAGACAAGTTTTTTTATGTGGTTACAGACCTTCGTCAATTGATGTGATCAAGAAATGTGTTACACATACCTAACCACTTTTGGAAAGTGCATTATCTTGATCAAACTACGTGGAGAAAGCTAGAGCCTGCTTAACCAATTTGCAACATCAGTCCATAAATTGACCGACTATCAATCTTAAACGTATCAGTAGATGTGAAGTATTGGGTTGGATTCTGCACGATAATAGTAATCAGTAGTTGGAGCCCTTGGGGGAAATGATTCAAAATTGGTTGAAGTATATCTAATTTAGTTTGTGTTGATCCGATCATCTAAAAAGATAAAGATAGCTTCACAATTAAAACTAACCATTTCTGAAAATGCAATCTGAACAAAATCAATTGTTCAATTTGACTTTTTTTTAGACATTATAAACTGCCCTCATTGTCATCAATGTATTGATAAATGCATTAAAATAGTTCAAACACCACCAACAACACCGTCATTAAATGCCGCTACTGAAAGAAATAGCCCATGGCACTTTAATACCCAAGAATTTATTAATGATCTAAATGACCTATGTAATTGTCCATGCAATCCTTTGTATTCCACAACAATAACAAACAAACAGTTGGATCATGCTAATAATGCTAATATTAATTATCGTCGCATATGGCCATGTGATTCATCTGCCGGGCGTACTGGTGGTCCGTTCGCTTGTCCCGGTCGTGTTGTTCTATGTTTTTGGAGGATTTTAATGCACGAAGTAAGATTTAGTGATTACTTTCATCTTTGTCTCTGTTTATGTATCTGAGTGTATTTTGTCAATTAAATTCTCAATAAGAAAGGACTCATAATAGAATTTATCCCTTTATTTTTATGTAAACACGTTAACATTGGTACGAGGAGGTACCAAATATATTTGCTCCACAGTTCACCATTCGATTGGTGTGAGGGTTGGAATACTACCTGAGTGTCTAAACCGAAACAGGTAGTTTTCTTAGAGAATCAATCCTCGAGCCTTTGACCCAAAAGCCTAATTCACTAGGCAGTAGAGCAACGTTAGGAGATGCAGTCTCATACTAGCGGATGAACATGAATGTAGACTCATGCACTCAAGGTTTTTATATTACAGACGAGTCGTCACTATTCCCAAATTCTTACTTTAAACACTTGATCGTGAAACGAATCTTTACTTATTGGCATCATATTTTATGGGCGAATGAATTCCATGGAACCTCTTGGATTACTGGACGAAATCCACTTATCCATATGGTCGACATTTCAGTTTTACACCGTAAATGATGTCATTTAGTGATTAAAACTCTAACCTTAATTTTGGTCGTAAACCGCGAACTCCGATTCGAAGCAATATGGGGACTCTTAAAAATCGGTTTTGGTTGTTTTAAGGGTTTGAGGGGACGATCAGTCTACATCCATCTGGAGGAATTTAGATATCGTTGTTTTTTTCGATATATAGACAGTCACATGTAGAAAATAGAAATAAACTTTTAATTGAGATCATGAACTGATCAACGCCAGACGACCGTTTGAAAACCGGGAAGCATTAGACGGCCGTTTCGTCCTTGTATGGGACTTCTCAGCAGTACACATCCATGACCCTGCATGCGGGACTCAGACCAAAGATCTTCGGTCTCACATACGAACACTTAATCTCTAGACCACTGAGCCGACATCCAACGGTCAGTAATTTTCTACGTTATCACTGTTTCGCTACTAGAATAATAGTAACTTAGGAATTGTATTTCATGGGGTTTCTTTTTTTAAAAAAGGAGGATTTGTTCACTTTTACTTATTTTTTTTATTAATTTCACCGTTTTAATTCGTAGATCAGTTTATACGAGTACAGTGTAGAAACTGTAGTGTATCATTTGTTGAAAGAATTTATGCCTCGTTATACATTTGCACAATTGAATGAATGGTATATGAATATGAATGGAACGAACCGGTATGTTCAATTGGTTTGCCTATGGTGAATAAATTTCATTTAACAATTCACATGTAAATATATAGCTGTGATAATCCATTCATTCTGTGAAGTAGTAGATAGAAACAACCGTAGAATAGCAAATACCAATAAGTTGTTCGACAATCTATTTTTCGTTGAACACTGGTGCGATGTTAGTTTGTTCATTAAAGGTCAACTGCACAATGATATAGCATGAGGAGTTCTTTTTGTGATGTCTGACCCCGAATTTAGGATGTCGTATACTATTTTCCTCTGTCATCTTTTTGTCTTAAGGACTTATCATATTTTGTCATTGGTATGTGCTTCCTATCGAGACCTGGCAAAGTATGAGGGTGAGGATAACGATGCAGGACCTAGAAATTCGACTTCTAGACGTTAAGTTCCGTCGCTTCGATACACTTAATAAGCTCTTTCAGAAAAAGTTTGAATCGGAGGTGAAATGGAAGAATCTGTCTGTTTTTAAATGAAATATATTTGATTCTGGTGACCTGATCACAATATGTGGTTTCTAGTTACTCTCTGTATACCATGTATCTTTTAATTCATTCTTGGAAATTTCAATCTCCATACTTGTGTTTTACCGTCTTAATTTCATCGTAGTTTTTCAAAAAATCGCCGCAAACCATCAGTTTTGTTTTACACTATCTAGTTTATATAGAATTAGTGCAATGTGGTTAGCTGTGGAATCCAAGACAGGTGTTACGTCCTATTTGAAACTCGTTAGTTGGCTATACATGCATCCCATAGTTGATGGCCACTTCGAATAGGGCGTAACGCGTGTCCTGAATTATATTACTAGCCACATTCCATCTATTTTATATAAGTTTTTGCCATACAAATTACTGTTAACTTCTGTCCCGTGAATGACCATGTAGCTTGACTGTGTTACCTGAAGTATCTTGAATAATTACACCTACAAATCTCAAGTTGAAAGCTAAGAGAACGTATACAAAAGCGCATACCTGTTCAGATCGAATCAGTCACACTACAATGTTTGTTTCATGGATATCAAAATAGTTAATTATACTTACTTACTTACTTTCGCCTGTTACTCCCAATGGAGCATAGGCCGCCGACCAGCTTTCTCCAACCCACTCTGTCCTGGGCCTTCTTTTCTAGTTCTTTCCAGTTCTTGTTCATTCTTCTCATGTCTGTCTCTATTTCTCGGCGTAATGTGTTCTTTGGTCTTCCTCTTCTCCTTCGACCTTCAGGATTCCATGTGAGGGCTTGTCTTGTGACACAATTGGGTGATTTCCTCAAAGTGTGCCCAATCCACTTCCAGCGCTTCTTCCTGATTTCTTCCTCCGCTGGAATCTGGTTTGTTCTCTCCCACAGTAACTTGTTGCTGATAGTGTCTGGCCATCGGATCCGAAGTATCTTGCGTAGACAGCTGTTAATAAACACTTGTATCTTCTGGATAATGGCTTTCGTAGTTCTCCACGTCTCTGCCCCATACAGAAGAACTGTCTTGACATTTGTATTGAAAATTCTAACCTTGGTGTTGGTTGACAATTGTTTTGAGCTCCAGATGTTTTTCAGCTGTAGGTATGCTGCTCTTGCTTTGCCGATCCTCGCCCTCACATCTGCATCTGATCCACCGTGTTCATCAATGATGCTGCCCAGATATGTAAAGATTTCCACATCCTCCAAAGCTTCTCCGTCAAGTGTAATTTGATTGGTGCATATTGTATTGTATCGGAGAGTCTTGCTTTTCCCTTTGTTTATATTGAGACCTACTGCTGCTGAGGCTGCTGCTACACTGGTCGTTTTCTCCTGCATTTGTTGTTGCGTTTGTGATAGAAGAGCCATATCATCCGCGAAGTCTAAATCGTCAAGCTGCATCCTGCCTGTCCACTGTATCCCGTGCATTCCTCCAGATGTTGACGTCTTCATAATCCAGTCGATCACCAGGAGAAAGAGAAAGGGTGAGAGTAAGCAACCTTGCCTAACACCGGTCTTTACCTCGAACGAGTCGGTGAGTTGTCCTCCGTGGACGATTTGGCAGTTTAGTCCATCATAGGAGTTCCGTATGATATTTACTATCTTCTCAGGCACACCGTAGTGTCGAAGAAGCTTCCACAGTGTCGTCCTGTCCACGCTATCAAATGCCTTCTCGTAGTCGATGAAGTTGATGTACAGTGATGAATTCCATTCGATTGATTGTTCCACAATGATACGTAGAGTTGCGATTTGATCTGTGCACGATCTATCCTTACGAAATCCAGCTTGTTGATCTCGAAGTTGAGCGTCCACGGAATCCTTCATCCTGTTTAACAATACTCTGTTGAAGACTTTTCCTGGTATTGAGAGGAGAGTGATGCCTCTGTAGTTGTCGCACTTGCTCAGATCGCCTTTCTTTGGTATCTTGATGAGAATTCCTTCTTTCCAGTCTGTTGGTACATGTTCTTCGTCCCAAATCTTACCGAAGAGGATGTGGAGTATCTTGGCAGTTGCTGTTACATTTGCTTTCAGTGCCTCTGCCGGGATGCTGTCTGGTCCCGCTGCTTTGCCACTCTTGATTTGTCTAATGGCCATGCTGATCTCTTCAATTGTTGGTGGGCCAATATCGATTGGGAGGTCTGTGGGTGCTGCTTCGATGTTGGGTGGGTTCAGTGGAGCTGGTCGATTCAAGAGTTCCTTGAAGTGTTCTACCCACCTGTTTCGTTGTTCTTCAATATCGTTGATTACTTTGCCTTCCTTGTTTTTCACTGGTCTTTCTGGTTGACGGTAATTTCCAGCAAGTTTCTTTGTTGTATCATACAATTGTCTCATGTTTCCCTCTCTTGCAGCCTTTTCCGCTGTCATCGCTAAATCTTCCACATATTTACGTCGGTCGGTCCTGATGCTCCTCTTCACTTGCTTGTTTGCCTCTGTGTATTCGGCTTGTGCCTTGGCTTTTTCTGCTCTTGTTCGGCTGATATTGATTGCTACCTTCTTGTTCCTCCTTGCTTCAATTTTATCCAGTGTACCAACAGTGATCCATTCCTTGTGATGGTGCTTCTTTTGGCCCAGAATCTCTTGACATGTTGAAACGATTGCCTTCTTGATACCTTTCCAGTTGTTCTCCATGGTAGTCCCCTCTCCATTGAGTAGATCATAAAAGGCCTGGAACCTGTTGCTGAGGGCTATGTTGAATTTGTTGAGTTTGTCAGCATCTCGAAGAAAGGCCGTATTAAACTTTTGTGATGTTGTCCGCGCAGTTGTCCACTGCTTCTTGAGTTTTAGTTTCATCTTGGCGACCAGCAAATGATGATCGGATGCTATATCAGCTCCTCTTCTGGTCCTCACATCCTCCATCGTCCTCCTGAACTTTTTGTTGATGCAGATATGGTCGATTTGATTCTGTGTAGTGTGATCCGGTGAAATCCAAGTGGCTTTGTGTATGTTTTTGTGTGGGAATATGGTGCCACCTATGACCAGTTTATTGAAGGCACATAGGTTTGCAAATCTCTCACCGTTTTCGTTCCTTCCTCCCAGTCCATGTTGTCCCATGACGTCTTCGTATCCAGTGTTGTCCTTTCCAACCTTGGCATTGAAATCTCCCATTAGAATGGTCAGGTCCTTGGTTGGGCACTTCTCAAAGATTGACTGCAGCCTATCGTAGAATTGGTTTTTAGCGTCTTCATCGTAGTCGTTGGTCGGCGCATAGCATTGGATGATGTTCATTGTAATGCCCTCTCTCTTTGTTCTGAAGGAGGCTTTGATGATCCTCGGTCCATGAGATTCCCATCCTATAAGTGCATTTTGTGCTTTTCTAGACAGCATCAGTGCCACTCCTTGTGTATGTGGGGCATTTTCTTCTTCATGACCGGAGTATAACAGAAGTTCCCCTGAAGACAGTCGTTGTTGTCCAACCTGCGTCCAATGTGTTTCACTGATTCCAAGCACTTCCAGGTTGTATTTCCTCATTTCCGCAGAAATTTGGAAGACTCTGTCGGTCTCCCACATTGTCCGGACATTCCATGTACCTATAAAAATTGTCGCTCTGGTTGTAAGAAGGTGCATCGGCCTCATGACTTCCGAAGGAACTCGGCTTTCATCATGAGACGTCATTTTTCCTTCTACTCCCAGGGCAGAGTTTGAATGGTTTGAATGAATTTTTCTGGTTAGCGTTTTTTTAGCGAGTTGATTTTCTACGGGATGGGGTCGCTAACCCCATGCCCAACCCTCCTCCTTTACCCGGGCTTGGGACCGGCAGTAGCCCCTGGAGGAGCTACAGGCGGAGTTAGTTAATTATACTAGTTAGTGTATATTTGTTGATTACAGTTGACCTTTTCTAAGTAACCTATTCTATCTGTCGTCATTGATCTCTTGATTCGGCACAAAAGTATCAAGCAACTAGTTCACATATTACTTTATATTTCATAATCTGATCGACTTCTTGTTTCTACCCTTTTCACTTCATACCTCCTTCAAATTTATTATAGAACCCCATGTAACTACATAGTATAAAGCACAGAGCACTGCAGCGTCGTTTTATTTAACCATTTTGTTGTATTGATAACTTGTTTGAAAAAAAAAAACTTGACCATAAACGAAGATTGGGCAAAATAACATTGACTACTTGACAAAATACCTCTTGTCAGCTAACTGTTTATGTTTATGAGAACTGAAACCTGTTGAAGATTTGCATTTGTATACTGGATGAAGTCGTGACCAGTTGGAATATATTGATTTCTTCATTATACTACGGGATAAACTGACTAGAGCAGTGAAGAGAACGTTTAATGCAGCCGACCTCTGTCTTTCGTACTCGACACGATCTGTCGTGATTCCCCAACTAAAGGATAAGTTGCCTGGTTATGCCACTTCTATGTATTTATGAATTCAGCTGCTCCTGTGGAGAAAGCTATATTGGGCGCACTACCAGACAACTGAACCTAAGAGTTAATGAACACCTCCCTTCGTGGTTAGGAAAAGGTATTGTCAAGTCGATACTGTGCTCGGTTCTTTCACACTTGATCGATAGCGGTCATAAAGTTGACAGAAATCAGTCATTTTATTGACGAACTGTTTCATAAGTCAACAACTCACCATTTCTGATGATTGGTCATGATGATCCAGCAACATTTTTGATGCTGTTTTACTCTTTTTTTTCTCTCTCTCTCTCGAGTAGCTGGCGCACAATCGATTATTGGATACGTCGTTCTATTGTGAATCTAAAATTATTGAATACTTTAGATTTAATTGGTCGAACAAGTGAATTTGCTCGTATATTTGGTATTGAATTCTATCATGTTCTATCTCGTGGTTCTCAGGTTTGTTGAATAAATAATTATTAATTTGCTTATAGTTTGTGTAACTCAATGTGCTCATTTACACACCGCCCTCAAATGCCCCAGTACGGCCGAGGGTGGGAAAAGTCTATCTATCTACACTAGACGGCCGTTTCGTTCTACTGTGAGACTCCTCAGCAGTGCCCATCCACAATCCCACATGTGGGACTCAGACCCAAGACCTTTGGTCTCACGCGCGAACACAACCTGTAGACCACTGATCTGACATTCAACGGTGTTAATATCTAACGCAAATCAATCCACGATATTGCACGGCCATCTTCCATTATCTTCGGTGCTTAACCATTTCACACTCGACGCTGTTGTTATTCTCTCTAACCTACAGAGTATGTAAACAATAAGTTGAAGCCTGTTACACAAATCAGTTATTGACAACTGGATTTTCACTAAATAAAAGATAATTAGATGAGTAATATTTTCGCTTATAGTGTAATTCCATAGTGTTGCGCCATAACATTTCTCTCGTATTGATTCTATCTTTCAGTATCGAGTTGAATCTCTTCTCTGTCGAATTGCAAGACAATCAAACTTTATTTTACCTAGTCCAAGTGTTACACAACGTGCTCATCAACTTGCTCCAGAAGGAATTCCATTGAATTTAGAACCAGAAAGTGTATTTTTCATTGATGGTCCTATAGCTGTTCTTGACTTTCAATCATTATATCCTTCTGTTATAATTGCTTATAATTATTGTTATTCCACACTGTTGGGACGTCTTTCATGTCTTCTTGAAGGGTGAGTGTTGGCAACAGTTAATCTTAATGGATTCACTCATTATTATTATTATTATTACCAGTAAAGAAAATCACTGACAAATGCATAACATTTGAAAATTCCATATTATCACTTATATTTAATGATACATTTAGTTTATTTTACCAAATTTGATAACCCTAGTTATTGGTAAAAATAAATTCCAGAGTTAACATTTTCGACAGGATTTTTATCACCTGTGTGTTCTTTTGGTTAGAGTTGGTGGACATGGAAAGTCTACCTGAGGAAGTTGGAAAACCCTCATTCCAAACCAATGGTGCACACAGGCTTCAGGATCCTAAAGGAATAAATGGCGTATAAATCTATTGTTAGTCACTGGCTTCCATAGGACTGCATCTCCTATCGTCGCTCCAATGCCGTATGGAATAGACCTCTAGGACAATAGCTCAACGACTGGCCCTTTAAGGAAACCACCTAATTCGGTTTTGCCTTCCGAACAGTATTCCAGCCCTCACACAAATCGAATGATGAAGTGTGGCGCAAATATATTTGGTGCCTCCTTGTACCATTATCTATCTGTTTAAATAAATAAATATTTTAACCAAACTTTAGATATGACGACGAGTGATCCTACTCTCAGTTTAAAGTTAACTGAATTCGGATCTGTCACTGGTTTGTTAAAAGTTAACCACTAAGCCCAACACCTTGTATTTAGTGGTATTTTATATCCATTCAGTAATCTTCATTCGACTTATGAGTGTTTATGCATTCCCAGTTTACTTTTAACACGTTATGGAATTTTCCGGGGCTACATTCTTAGAGCATGTTCGATCCCTCGAAGTCTTCAATTCAAGATGGTAACACCAATTAAACTATCATTACTCTCCCCAAACACGTATTTCCTAAACTCCGTATTACTAAGATGGCTTTGCTATTGAGTGTCTATCCTTACTAAATCGTCGATGACATTCATTTTCCATTAACTAAATTGATTGACAAGTTGTCTGATTGGATATCTTACTTTCTAACGTTAATCAGTGTTAATCGATAACGGTACATGGAATAGCCATTTTCTCTTGGAACAATAAACATTTTGAATCAGTCGTCTACAACGTAGGACCCAAGCACTTATATACATCGGACGATGGTACTATACCTTATCAGCAAAACAAGATGAACACCAAATTTATAAAAGCAGTTACTTCAATGGTAGTAATACATAAAAGAAAGATTGTATATAAGGAAGTGACACAAGTAAAAAGAATTAATTCTTAGAAAGGAAGGTGTAGAGTAGTTTTAATCTCATGGTTTAAGGGAACACAAAGAGTGTATATATTTACGCCATTATGATCGGTTTTGAGCCATGTCACACAGTCTCCAACCATTGGTCATGATAATCAAGTGAACCTCGACCAATATTTTGAATAGCTTACAGGAAGCCATTTTAAAATCACATCAAAGATTTCCTTCAGATGGTTATTTCTATAATGATTGTTTGCAAAATTAAACAGTCGGCTGATTCTTTGCTAGCTATCCTTGAAGGAGTAAACAAATTTTGTATGCTTGCTTATTCTTTTATTTTGACTATTAAACCTTCGTGAGTTGTACATTTCTAGTTTGACTTTTTTGATTACTCTTTTATGTGCTTAATGAAGTGAAGAGGTTTCATTCAATCTTGGTTGTTTATCACATTCCCTTCCATCTGGTTTGATTAAGGTAAGTTTTATCTATAAATTAATGTTAACAATTTATCAACAAAATTCTCTCGACTCTCTTCCTAATGGGTTTTTATACTAAGGTGAATTCTAACAAGAAGATACCTAACATCTCATTTCCTTAAATTTGTATTTAACATAGTGATAACATATGCACCATTGGTTTGGAATAGGGGTCTTCCAACTCCCTCAGGTAGACTCTCCATGTTCACCAACCCGGTCAACGTGCTGGATATTCGCTTTTGGTCCTCTAAATTTCGTAAACGACACCCTTGCGGTGAGAAGGCAGTGAGTAGCACTTTCCTGGTATACGTGTGTCCATGTGAGAGTATTTGGAGAGGGAAAACTGTATCTCACCACCCTCGACCGTACTAGGGCATTTGAAGGCTCAAAAGAACAATGAAAGTTTCAAAACAAAACCATCCTAGGCAGAGACTGCTATATCTACAACATCCTAAGCTACAAATATTCTCCATCCTTTCATCTGTAAGGGTCTTGATTATTTCATTGCTGATATTCACGAATGAAATATCTCATGAGAATACTTGTTACTCTTAATTTATGTAGTTGAAATATGTGTATCTTACAAATGGAGAGATATTCAACTTCTTGATTTCGATCATCTCCACAGTTGATATTATTTATCGATGAATATTGTCTACTAACACTTGTCTGTTAGGGTCAAACTAATCAAATTTGTTATGTATTTGAGTCAGTCAGTCAGTCAGTCACAACGTAGAACATCTTACGTGCATACATCAGTTCGAGTTGCCATACCACATTAGCACAGAGATACAATTGTCGATTCAAATCCCATAGTGGTAGAAGTAGTAAAAGTATAAGCATTATGTGAAAGATTAGGGTTTAAAGGTGTTATTGAAGGAGTATAATCCAGTGAAATAAATTTGAAAAGAGAAAAAAAGAGAGGGTCATGAAGAATTCAGAAGATTAGAATTTGGCAGAACACAAAGAGTGGATGCACCTTCGCCATTGCAAACGATTTTGAACCATGCCATTCAAGGTCTCTAACCATCGATTGCTATCATCTCGCGGGTCCCAACCAAGGTAGTCTATACCTACCAACATGGCTCAGTTCACTTGTCAGTGACTTCATGGATTTGTCTTACGTGTTGGTCTGGCCATCCCTAACTTTCTTCCAACCTACTCCTACACCATAAAACATTGCACGTCGGGGTAGTCGTTGGTTGGGCATACGTAACACGTGTCCCAACCATCTCAACTGATAAAGTCTCACTACTTCATCAATCAATTTGCCATCCTTACCTAGTACTCGTTTCCTAACAACTACGTTACTTACCCCGTGTTCCCAGGATATACGAGCAATGCTTGGAAGACACCTATGATTGAATACTAGTAGCCTACGAATATCCTCTACTCTTACCGTTCATATTTCACTGCCATATTTGAACTTAGCCAATTTTACTAACAAAGTAACATAAAGAAGTTTCTATAGATTGATTAGTTCTCTGGAAAACCAGTTGACCTCTCAAAATTATCCAAACAATTTCAAAGTGTAATTTTTTAGTAATCATTCAATAAATTTATTATATTAATTGATTCTCTATTGTCTTTATGAAGAGAATCGGCCGTGAAGTTAATATATCACCGAATGGAGTTGTATTTGTGAAAAAATCAATAAGGGAAGGAATCCTACCACGGTAAGTCAAAATAACAATTGAAATAGAATAGTATGATTTCACTATATTGCATGGTTACACATCAGCCACATACAATCATTGATATATATTAAAAGGTAACATTGAGGTATGATATAATGTGAAATAATTGACATTGGTGATAGAGAAATTTAGAGTAACAAGGATTACCAATAATGGTTCTCTATGTCTATTTGTCTCAAAATAGGTTGGAGGTCTTTTGGAGATGGGATT